TTCAGTTCAGTTCAGTTCATTTATTTGTGTTCAGGTTTTCAGTTTAGTATAAATAAATAGTGTTTTTATTAGTATGTATTACTGTTGGCTGGATGGAAATTGTTAAGGTTTCCTACATAAATACATGTTATTAACACCACAGAATGAGGTCTGCTGGGTTTGAAGTTATAAAACCTGTAGATGTGAAAGAACAGAAATCATAAACCAGCACTGACAGAAAAACTTCATGGCCGCAGTGACTCATTTTCCTGTTTACTCCACTAATAAAGAATCCAAGTGAATCCAAGAACAAGGATGTGAGTTAATGAATCATGACTCAATAATTTCTTCTGTTGTTCACAATCAACTCTGAGATAATAAACTTAATTGTTAGAATTGTTTCTGAGGTATTTCACTCACTATAAATGATGCTACGGTTTGACTCAGATCTGTAAAGCCACTGCAGGAACCAGAATCTGGTCAGAAACTTCTCTAGTCCATGTGGAGTTGCTGCCATCAGAAAACATGGCAGCAATGCATCAAAAACAGAACCAACAAACTGCATCTTTTAACCTCTAAATGTTAAAATGCTGATTTAATGGTTTTATCTGTGTAATAATTTTCACTGCAAAAAGTAAAAATAAAAAAAAGAGAAAAACTCAAAACTTGCCTGGATAAACCACTTCAACGTCAACACAAAGTGGCAGAATAATCAGACCTATTCCAACACAAGAACTGGAGCTGAGAGAAGATCCTGTAATATCAACACTTTCTGCTCTTAATCTAGAAATTGGTCAGAATTTGACATCTGTAGTTTTCGCTTGAGGTTCCTCTTGAGGTTTGCAGCAAATTGTCTTACATTATGTGATGCATTTCATTGTTTTCATTGTTTAAAATGTATAGAGGGCAAAGAGCAGTTTTAAAATCCCACATTTTACCTATTAATTTAAAACACAAGTTTATTGAAGCTGCTCCACAGTTGTTCTCTGTTTGACTCACTGAAAATAACAGGAAACAGACAATATCTCTGCTGATCATACAGAGAGTTGTGATAATATTCAACACATTCAGAATGTGGCAGAATATTTTACTTATTCTTATGTCCATCAATAAGTGGGGTAACATTAAAGGACACAAGGATTTTCTGATTTAATGAAAATTTAATTTCTTAAATTATACTAAAGAAATAAAACCTGAAAAAGGAAAACCTGAAATGAGAAACCAAAACATATTAATGCAAAACCCATAGCTAACCAGAAATAAGCAAATGCAAAACAAACCTAACTGCAGCCATAACATTGTTTAAAACAGTTTAACTGAGAAGGAGGAGCGACGTGATTCCAGTTAATGTTTGAAACGAAGCATTTTTGTTTGAGTTTTAAACATCAGGCATAAGACATTCTTTACTTCTCCGAGTTTCTCCCTCCTTGTCTCCCAGCCCGTCGTCAGTAAAACCTGGTTCAGGTCCTGCTCCACCGTCTAAAACAGTGGTGTCCAAAGTGGGTCCTCGAGGGCTGGCATCCTGCGTGTTTTAGTTTTCTCCCTGGTTTAATGCACCTGGATCAAATGATGACTTGTTAGAAGCGAATGAAGAACATTGACTTGCTGAGAAGGTTGTTACTACCACCAGGGAGAGAACTAACACATGTACGATGCCGGCCCTCGAGGACCGACTTTGGACACCCATGCTCTAAACTTAAAACCATCTGTATGTAGGACTTGTGTGTGATTCCATAGTCACAGCCTTTTGGATCAGGTACCTTCCAACAGTTAAAAGTTTACTTTTGTTTTCTCACTAGCACATGTATTGTCGAAGAGAAGACTCCATGCACATATCCAGCATCATGTCCAATATGACACATGCAGTCCAGTTTTATGTGGAGCTGAACTTCACCTTGATGGTTTCCTGTCAAAATAATCATTTTTATTTAGGCACTTCCTTTTTTTTTCTTTTCAACTATAATCAGTTAAAATAGCCCAAAATTGATTAAAATATGACCAATTCAAGACACACTAAGTATACTGATATTTAATGTTAGAAAGCTAAGAAAGATGCATTGCAAGTGCAGTGTACACTGAAATTATCCAGCAACTTTAGTACTGTGCTGTATCTTAATTTACTTTAATACAGTTTTCTTCTGAACCTTCATATTAACAAATTTTATGGTTTAATATGAGAAACAATACAAAAGAAAACATTTCAAACAGGACTGTGAACTCTTCACTCATCAAATTCATCTTTCAGGATGTTGTGCTGTGCGAAGTGTATGTACATTATGCTTGATATCAAGAATGTAATCCAAGTTAATGATATCGTTCTCTAAATATTACAAATTTCAGGGCCAGTATAAATTTAAGTGTCCAGCTCTGAAGGACGGCACCCTGCACAAGTGTGACGCTCTGTGGTCGTATCAAGAGGTCCGTCGCCTGGCCGTCCTGACCGCTGCAGAAATACAGCATTTTGAAGAGAACATGGCCCGTCTGGCTGCTACAGAGTACTGCGATTTTAAATCCGTAAGCATCATGCTAACTCAAGACAAATTCATGAAACATTGTTCTACAATGTGGTAACTTCTTTCCTTTTGTTTTCTCTTCTTTTTCGCCCTGCAGTGTCCTGGCTGCAGCTCCTACATTGAGAGAGAGGACCTGACTAACCTCTGCGTTCAGTGCTTAGTTTGCACAGCAGATAAGAATGCAGAGGTCCAGTTCTGCTGGCAGTGCTTGAAGCCGTGGAAAGGTCCGGCTCCACGCTCCGATCACTGTGACAACAACGGCTGCATCAACCACGACCTGCAGCTGCTCAGGACCTGCAAGACCACATCCTTCCCTGAGGTGGACGGGGTCGAGAACTGTCCCTCTATCAGGGCCTGTCCCACCTGCGGACATAAGGTGGAGCACGACAAGACGGGCTGCAAGAACATCATCTGTCCTCGCTGCCAGGTGGAGTTCTGCTTCGTGTGTCTGAAGCTGACTCCTGAGTGTCTGAAGACCAGCTCCTACTTCATCCCCTGCAGTGCTGGTGTGGCTCCCAGACAGACAGCCATACCTGTGTGGCACAGGAACTAAGAGTTATTTCTTGAGAAAGTTAATTGGTACGATTAAAGTTGTACCATTCCTTCTTGTTTCTGTTCATCATCTTTAAGAGCAATCCACATATGGAGGCCTTAGTCCTCGACGTGACTGTCGCAGGTTCGATTCCTGGTCTGGTGACCTTTGCTGCATGTCTTCGCCCTTCTTCATTACCCACTTTCCTGTCAATTCACAATCAAACTAGAATCTATTAAAAAAAATTGAAGTTCATTAACTGTGAATCCTCTTTACTCTATTTTGCAACCTTTTTATTCTCATGTTATATTTTACTTAAGAATAATTTCTTCTTTGACCTCCAATTAACTAATTAAATGTCATTTTTACTAAAAGTGTTTGTGTAATGATTTGAGTTTTTCTGTGTGTTTAATCGCACTTCATGACAGTTTGTCTCTGTCTCAAAGTAGGGCGTCCACCTTAAATGGAGATTCATTCTTTTTAGCTACTTAATGTGTAATTTGCTTCTCTAAAATCATTTTGTTAAAATGTTTTGGAAAATTATAATCTGTTATATTTGAAACTGGAAGTTAAGAGGATTTTCATTGTTTTAAAGTCAATTGTAAATACACAGAAATGTAAAACAATGCAATTTGGCAGATAAAACACCATCTTTCCTAGCTGCATACTTTATTTATACTAATTAAGGAAGGAGTCCAAAAAGCTTTCCTTAAAAATTCACTAAGTGATGATTAGCTGCTAAATACTGTTAGCCCACTAGGTGGCGAACTGACTCACGATGCTGAATTACTGTAAACTATGTAATTCTAAGAAGAGAAGCAATGTTTTTGGTCTCAACATCATTCACATCATGTGAAAGTACAATTAGTTTTCAGAAATTGTTTACAGGCACTGTATGCAGTAATACTGCCCATTTGGGTTGACCGTTTTGTGTGCTGACAGATGAGGAATATGCATTCATTGGCATTCATCAACCTGATTTAATAATAAAAAAAGTACAAGGTAATTTACTTGGATTAAACCGTTATTGATCATGTCTAATGACTTGGAGGCTCCTTCCAAAAGGCCAATATTGTATCTTAATGCACATTGTAAATGTTGGAGAGTGAAAGTGAAAGTTACATCACAGAACCTTTTACCAGGTTTATAATAAACCAGATTGGCTCTCTGAGAGGTTGGGCCTGGTGAATCTGGAAAGTACCTGGAAGTTTTTTCAAGTCATTTACGGCCAAATGATCTTGACAAAGACTTTAACAATGTATCTATTTAAACTGGAGAACATTTGGGGAAAACTCACCTTACTGCCAAGTGATCTTGACAAAGACCTTATCAATGTATTTATATAAACAGGGGGAGCATTTAGGAGAAAACACTATTTATGAGGAAAGATTAAATTCATTTCATTTTAATTATTCCAGATCTTATTTCCTGAAATATTGACAGGATTATATAAAGGAATCTTATTATCTCATTAGCTGCCCCAAACCTGAATTAAATGTTTTAAAAGATTTACTTAATATTTTATGTTATCCTCTCTCATAGAAAGAAATGTTGTCCTTTTCTACCAGAAAGGACATGATTTTGGTAGCATGTTCCAAAGTATCAACACACACTAATAAAACTGATGATGCTCTCATGCTTTTACATGATAAAATATTTACATTCTTGTGTAAATTTAGATTCAAGATATGTGACCTTTCACAGACTTTCTACACCTTCTTCATTTATTTAGAGTTTTATTTGATGTTGTGAAATGTGTTATCTTTTAAAAAGTGGGTAACTGCATATTCCAAATAAATATAATAAAAAACGGTTCAAAGTCAGGCAGGCAAAATGCAACATTTTGCAATCACTGATTAAATCATCATCAGAAAATATAAAGTTATAAACCAGGTAATTATAAATTACCATATTGGATCTGGTCAGAACCAATAACTTTTGTTGCATTTTAAGCCACGCCTTTAACAAAAATGAAAGCAAAAGTCATCATGTATAAAAAACGCTCGTCAGTCACTTAAGTGACATTACAGCTTTAATTCCGGAGTAGAGTTTGCCTTCATCGAAAGAGGAAAACATGGTGTGCGAGGTCATCGTCTGTTTTGAACAGAACAGGAAAATACCGTTCGGTGTGTGTCAACAAGAAAAGGATCTGGCTATCACTCCTGTGCAGCGTCTGAAGGACCAAATACAGGAGCGACGCCCTGAGATAGGTAAAGACACCTGCTGAGAAATTATCCTTTCACATTTATTGAGACATGCAGATGAAATGACGAGCTTTAATTTAAAAAGTCGATTTACAGTTTTTTAAATCCATAATTGTCACTTGTGAGACATGTAGATGCTATTTGTTCTAAACCATTTAAAACAATAGGGGTGTGCAATATGTCTGATGGGATCACTGGCTGTATGAGTAACTGGAGCTGTTATTATGTTATATATGAGCGATTTTATTTATTTCAGGTTTCATAGGGCATTTTAATAGGAAACAAAATCCACTCTTGTTTGTTTTGGACATTGTCTTACTGTGTCTTTCGGTTTTGTTTTGCGCAAAGGACGGTCTTTAAAATGATTTATTTCATTTAAAATTTTCACTAATGATTCCTTGCAGAAAAGACCAAGATGGGTCTGATCTACAAAGCCCAAACCATGGAAGAAACCCGCCCGTTGGCTGATTACGGCATCAAGCACAAGTCTGAGGTCCACGCGGTGATGCGCTGTGACGGAGGCCTGGAGCTGATCGTCCTCGACTCTGCTCCACTCTGATCCACTCAACTCACAACTGGACATATGCTTTTATTTTCTATATAACCTAAAAAATGTCATAAATTCAAATATGATCTAAGCAAATTTGATCTAAGCTCTCCCGCAGCAACCATCTGTCCCTTTATTTTTATTTATTTATAATCATTTGTAATGATTGAATTCTTTGTTATTATTCTTGGTTATGTGTGTTTGTTTTTATCTGCCCAACTGAATCCTTGTTCTTTTGTTTTTTAAAAGCTGTTTGAAATAAAATATTTTATCATACTGATATTTGATCTGATATAATTCTCTTATTCCCTTAAGTCAATAATTGCTGAGATTTTGTGATTTTTTTCACTCCTATTTATTGAAGGTACGTCAATTTAATCAATTAATCAATTGTCAATTAATTTGACAACATAAATACTGACACATGCAAAATAAAAAGTGATGAGAGGATATGAAAATAACTGTAAATTGCTCTTAAGTTGAATGATTGCTGTTTGCACTTTTTGTTTGTCTGCATGTTTGATGGTAAAAAAATGAAATAAAGTACCAAATATTTCGATCTGTGTGTGAATTTAGTTTCTTTGTTTGCCTGTCATTCTGCTGCTGTTGCACAGAAATATCCCTTTTATAGGACAGTAAAGGATATTTTTTATTCTGTACTAATTGTAGTCAGATTATTCATTCTTATTAATAATCTGTAAATTATTCACACCTGTTAGTTTTTATGAAATTAAGGCGTCAACAATAAAAACTATAATATTATTCTTTATATGGTCGAGATTTTTCACTGTCTTCATTCAATTCCATCCATCCATCCATCCCCTGCTCCATACGAGTTTAACGGGGGACATCGGCTTATTTTGGGGAGAGGGGGGAACAACGAATCTAGCAGCAATAATAATATGACTTAAGTAAAAGAAAACGTTACAGTACGGTAAAACTACTCTTATAAGAGCGCCATGAGCGCAACATGAGCGTCATACCGCTCATGTTGCGTTTAAAGGCGGCACGGAAAAGCAGGTTTCGACCTGTTGACAACGAATTAAACAGTTTTGACAGCTGAAAAAAGTGACAGAAGGCACAGATATGGTGAGTGCGGAAGCCCCTACTGTATCAAATTGACATAGGAATAACAGAGAGTTGGCCACTTTATTTTTCAATGTATTTGTGATGTTTAAAGGCAAAAACAACAAACAGCTTCCATTCCAGAAGGGGCACAGCTGACTCTGTGGGTGGGTAATGCCCCCCAATGCCCCCCCACGCCGCCGGCCTGCGCCCCCCATGCATCTGCTCTTCTTTCCATGTGGGCGTATCTTCAGCGATCAGCTGTAAAGTGAAAGTCACAGAACTCGTAAAGAATAACCGGGCCGAAATCGAAAGAGTTCCCTTCTATTAGACCTAAAATAATATAAAGTTGATTGTTTTCTGCATCGCAGCAGAAATCAAGAGAACTTTCAAGATGAACGACAGAACTAAGCGCTACAACCTGAGCGACTCTACAATCCGATTCACGGCTGAAGAGGATCAGTTTGACTGTGAGTGGCTCGTTTCAGTTCATCAGCTCTGTAGCTACAAGTTTTCAATGTATTTGTGATGTTGTTTAAAGTATGTGTAGTGTGTATTTAAAAATACCGGAGGATCTCATGGGATGTTTCTGCAGTTCTGTGTGAAGGTTTTGATTCCCCGAGAGCCCGGATGTCCTGCGGACATGTGGTGACCCCGATGTCTCTCACAAAGTGGTGCGAACAACTGCTCAAACAGGTGGGATATGACGGTGACCTCACATTCAAAACCGAAAATACAAAAAAAAAAGAATTGTAAGCTAGTTTCGTGGAACTATTTTTATTCTGATTAAGATGAAAAGTGATGATGTGATCGGGTCCGTGTTGTTTATTTTCAACATGTATTTACCGCTACAGAATGATGCTGACAGCTATTTTTTTTCGGATCTGGTTTTCTTGTCTTTAAATACATGAAAAATAAAATTTTCCATAAATATTAAAATCTTATTGAAGAAAATGTATTTATCCTCTCTTTCAAAGCATTTAGTTTCCTTTATTTGAGTTGATACCCGACTTCCAATGTACAGAAACAGATAATAATCAAAGACAAAACCTTAATAAATCTTTTAATTCTACCACAATACACTCATGTGTTTAAGAACGTGTCTGTAATTTCAATTAAATGAATAATTTTTGCTTTCAAATGTGAAATGTAAAATATTTTATTCTATGTCTTTTATTCTTTTTAATTGAACTAAACTAAACTAAATGGATATTTGTTGTTTCTGCTGCTTTTAGTTTATTAACCTTCGACAGATTCACTGTAAATTTTTTAACTCTAACTTTCCAAAAACAAGTTCTCAACTGTGAATTCTAGAGTTAAAGAGCATCTTAATACATCACTGTATTTTCTGTGTTGACATAGCATTTTTAACAGAATATTGGTTAAAAGGAAGTAAGGAACCTTCCTATCAGATTGTTAAACGTGTCTATTTTTTAAAATCTTTAATCCTGATTATTTCTGTGATTATTTAAACAAAGGGAGAAGCCAGGTTTGTGTGCGGTCAGTCTGGCTGTGATGCTGAATGGTCTTATCAAGAGGTTTGTAAAATGGCCCTGCTGACCCCTGAAGAAATGAAGAACTTTGAGACGACCATGGCCCTGAATGCTGCTGCCAGAGATCCTAACACAAAGTTTGTAAGTATCTTATTAATGACGTAATGATAACTGCACACAGGCTTGAGTCTGACTCAAATCCCTCTGTTCCCCGTCTCTCATCACACTCCTGACAGTGTCCAGGCTGCATGACTCCTGTGACCAGAGGGAGCAGCTCAAACCTCTATGTCTGCTGCCAAGTGTGTTCAGCAAAGACCGGACGCAGCTTTGGGTTCTGCTGGCAGTGTCTGAGGGAGTGGAAAGGTCAACAGCCTCGATCCGACCGCTGTGAAAACGACGACTGCCACAATTCTGCCCTGAAGACGCTGAGAGAGTGTCCAGAAGTTAAAATTCAGCTAACGGAAGGAGTCAAAGGCTGTCCGTCGGTCCGTGCCTGTCCCACCTGCGGCTCACTGATCCAGCACACTGGGATAGGATGCACAGAAATTTCATGTCCCCGATGTAAGATGTCGTTTTGTTTTGGCTG